TTAAATAGGGTAAAAGCGGTATATTAAATGCAGTAAAACTACGGTAAATTCAATATGATGAACTTGCATTCTTTAAGCATGGGCTGCATAGTAAGTGAACTAAACTAAATGTTAAGCACCCTGGTAAACAACTTCATTCTATTCAATTTCTTTATTTAATCACTTTGTCCGGCTAGAATTTTTAGATTAGATTAAAGGAACACCCTCCCTGGTAACGGCTGAACTAGTTAACCAAATACAAATATTTAGGTAAAATACTTTCATAAAACCCGTCTACTTCCCCCACCAGTAGACTTGTTCAGCTAAAGGCAATGTAATGTTCCACTTTAGTAAATAAAGACTTAAAAAACACTACCCCATCTGTGTAGTTACCGGTTACCTGACATTCTACGCTTAAAATAACCCATCTATTCCCCATAATTGTTCGATATAACTTACCTCTCACCCGCTGGTCGAGTACACAGCAGTATATATCCTCCTCCATCACTCACCGCGTGGATACTATTTCATTCTGGCCGCAAATTGCCTCAAATCACCTACGTTGTCCATAAACATATATAGAAGAGCAACTGATCGTAACACCCAACACCCGTATAGCGATCATCACATAACATGGGAAAATTAGTAGTACTGCTGTCAAAACATAGATGGCGCCAGGACAAACGGTAATTCCTATGGACTCGCCTAGTTATGCGTAGGGAATTGAGCTTCAGCTGTTTGGTCCCGCCCCTCAGCTGTATTCACCTAGTTGTACTCACCTAATTTGTGCTTGCAGGGGTTGAGCTTTGGTTCTTTGGTCCCGACTCTCAACCGTCAATCAACAGGTGTACAGGTTCCTGAGCCTATTGGGCCTATTGGGCTATCACATCTACATTTGAAATTGTGTATGGAGTCAGCCTCCACCACATCACTGCTTAATACATTCCATTTGTTAACTACTCTGACACTGAAAAAATTATTTCTAATATCTCTGTGGCTCATTTGGGTACTAAGTTCCCCTTGTTCGTGTTCCACCCGTGTTAAAGAGCTGTCTTTGTAACTATCAAAATGCATATATCTTTGCTTTCACTTCAGTTATATTTATGACAAGGGATTTAAAATTTGCCTATATTTCTGCTTCTCTGATGACATTAAAAACTTTCATTTATTACAGTATCTACATAAAATTAACATTTATCTTCATTAGGTTGTAGTTCTCATCAATAGGGAGAGCGTCGGTAAAAAAAAAAATTGTTTAAATATAAATATCTTTCCTCTCTCAATAATATGCCCGAAACGCTATGCGTACTAGTGGCTTTAGGTATTGTATGTACTAGCTCTATCTATAAATCCAATATTATGTTTGTAAATCGACTATTTATGTACTTTCCTGAATAAAATGAACTTTACTAATATCTAATCTCTGTGACTAAAACGTAAGAACGGCTTTATCTATGCCTTTTTGATAACATATACAATTATAAGCTTTATTAGTGAATCTCTATTAATTAAACAATATATCAGAGAGTGTGTAAGGTTCGGTGTTCCATGTGCGAAGAGACATGGGAGATTTTACATCAGTACAGTAAATGTTTTAAGTAGCGAACGCATACTAACGAATAACGATTAGTATAGACCAACGCTATTGTTCTATGAAGTCGATTTAACTTCCAGACATGTATTTTTCAATAAGTCTTAGATATTTTCTGGCTAGTTATGTTAGATATTATTAGAAATACGTATTCTACTTGTTAATATAATAAACTAAATTTGCGATCATTTAAGGAGAGAAGTGCGACGACTGGATCACTGTGTGCAGAAGGTTGATATGCCAACAAACACTTTCCAGACAACAATATATCTTGGATAAGTCGCTCCACAACATTGACACCTGGACCGTTGACTTCCTATGAGGCCACATATTTACTTATTTCATAATGGAAGTATATTATTTTATAGTAAATATATGTTTTCTCGTGTTCTGCATTAAGTACCAACATTATAGTGAATAAATATACCATATTTCTTCATTATTTAAGTAATGCTAGGAGGCTTTGAGTAGCTTTGGGTCATTAGGTGAACAGAATCTCCAATAGATGGGGCGAGAGTCGCGCTATCTCTCGCCCGAGCGAGAGTCGAAACTTATTTTAGAATTGATATATCTTTGTCCTCCAACAAGATATATTTCCTTTGGTGCACTCACAATAACGAGCATATCTCTGTCTTTCTGAAGGCATATAATATTTTAGGCTTTATAAGCGTATCTTTGTTAATTACACACTATATTGGCAAGTGCGTAGGCTTCTGCATTCCATGACCGACAAGCTACTGAATGCCACTATAAAAACGTATGTATCTTCACTTGAGCTTTATATATGTCTATGTTAAAGTATTTAAAATAAAGCTTATATTTCTATCTTTCTTGAGACATATAAAACATATGTGTTTATTAACGAATTTACGTGAAATAAGCATTGTTCTGAGAGAGAGTTGCTCTGTCGATCAGTCTGTGCGGGGTCGGAGCTCGGCGATTATTAAAACACATGTATCTTCATTAGAACTTTATATATATCTATGGTAAAGTATTTAAAATGAAGCTTATATTTCTATCTTTCTCAACACATATAAAAACATTGGCGTTTATTAACGAATTTACGTGAAATAAGCATTGTTCTGAGAGAGAGTTACTCCGTTGTTCGATCTGTGCGGGATCGGAGCTCGCCGATTAGAAAAATACACGTATCTTCGCTTTAAATACAAATATGCCCATGGTAAGGCATTTAAAATGAAGATTATGTTTCTATCTTTCTTGAGACGTATAAAAATCTTACGTTTATTAACGATTCTGCGTGAAATAAGCATTGTTCTGAGATGAATATTGCGGATTTCCGGCTCTACGACCGATGAAAAATGCAACTTTTATACAACTACAAATATCTTTAGTTTTACTTTAAATTTTGTCCTGAAAGAGTTTTCATATATAGATCCAGTTTCTGCCGTTCTTCTGACATAAAAAGACCTTTGGTTTAATAAGTTATTAAAATGTTTTCAACAATATTACTAGGGCGTTCACCGATTCTAACATGGGCGACCCTTTTGGAAACGCAACACTTGGGTTGACCTGATTGATATATGGGTCAGATTCCATTAAGGTTCGGAACAATATTTAGTGCCCTCTGATTATTCCGCACAGTTGATGGTGCTACATAGCCTTCCCGGTTTTGTGCCTTCTTTTGATAATTATTTACGCATACTAGTGGCTGTACAAGAATGTAAGAACTCTTGAATATTTAAAGAAAAAAATAAAAGTGAAATTTCTGAAGGAGGAATTTGCGTAATAATTTTCATCCTATTCGAATATCATGGATTAGCGACATCCTATTGAAGGCTCGTAGTTTAGTTTTGAGAAATCTTGGTAGTTCTCAGTAAATTATAATATTTATTCTCTGAATTATTACCTGTAAATATTTCAATTGGCACCAAATTATAATATATACCCCGCATCTCCAGTACTCTTTCTGCCCGAAACGCTTTGCGTAATAGTGGCTTTAGGCATTGTATGTACTAGCTCTATCTATAAAGCCAACAAACTTTGTAAATCTCTTTATGTATGTACCTTACCTAAATAAAGATTATTATTATTATTATTATATACAAGAGAATATGCTCTATAAAGATTAGAGAAAATGGATCATACATTATGTATTATAGAAAACGTATAGGATAGGGTACACTATACTACCGCCCACAGGATGGGTATGTGGTCACGGGAGACATCTCCCGTCACGCAGGGTGCAGTTGCACCTCCACAGATCTCCAGTATCATCTATTGACACTGGTGATGGCTCAAAAGGGCCACCATTTACGGGCTATTCATGCTCGTGCCACCTTTTGGGTGTCTTCATCTTAACACATTCACAAGGGAGACATCTCCCGTCACGCAGGGTGCAATCGCACCTTCACAGATCTACAATACAATACAATACAATTTTATTTAGGTAAGGTACATACATACAATAAATATTTACAAGGATTGTTTAACTTATAGGTATAGCTAGTACATACAATGCCTAAAGCCACTATTACACAAAGCGTTTCGGGCATGAAATCTCCAGTATCAGCTCTTGATACTGGTAATGGCTCAAAAGGGCCACCACTTACGGGCTATTCATGCCCGTGCCACCTTTTGGGTGGCTTAATCTTCATCAATCAATCATCGAATAATAACTCACGGGAGACATATCCCGTCACCCAGGGTACAGTCGCACCTTCACAGATCTCCAGTATCAGCTTTTGATACTGGTAATGGCTCATAAGGGCCACCACTTACCGGCTATTCATGCCCGTGCCACCTTTTGGGTGGCTTAATCTTCATCAATCAGTCGGGTATGTGGTGCATAACTCCCACGGGATGGGAATAGGGAGCATAACACCCACATAATTGGTATTGGGTCCAATACTACCAGCACATGTACTCTGTACCCCAACGTACACCTGTGCTTCCTCAGTTGTTCGATTAAATCTCTTAAATACTCCTTGACTATTAGAGATATCTATAGTTTTCCCAATACTAACAGCTACATTCTCAGATAACCTAATTAATCTTATCATAAACATCTCAACAAAAATCACATCATTCTGGGAGGTGACTTCAATACTGACCTGTGTCAAAAACAAATACAAATATTTATTCAGGTAAAGTACATACATACAAGGCAAGATATTGTCAACAAAATAGCTCTCAAGTCGACTATTTCCTAAAGAGCATGAACTCCTGTATGCTAATCCCCACAATCGCCAAACCCACCCGAATCACTCAAACATCCACTACTACCTTGGATCACTTATTTACTAACATAACAGCTCCGCTTGCATCTGGTATAATCACCGACAGAACATCTGACCACCTGAGAATCGACTTGAGAATGGTCCAGGACGGACCGAAACGTCGTCGTCCCTTGAACTTCTAGTGTGTGGTCTGGTCAACATCTGACCACTATCCTACTTTCCTCGTAGCAAACATGGACATAACAACACCAGCTAACAAGAAACTTATCTTCAGGTTACACAGGGAAATAGTAAGTAATAGGCAATCCTCACAATTGCACTTCGCAATATAAACTGGGAATCTGAATTCAATAATACACAGGATATAAATGCATTTACTAACCTCTTCCTTTCCAAAACTCTCAGCCTCTACAACATTGTCCTCTCCTCACCAAGCAAGTAACTGGCAAAAGATTAAACAATCCTTGGCTCACAAGTGGCATATTCAAAGCAATCAGTAAGAAACATGAATATGAAAAACAGGAGTGGCCTAGTTAAAAAGGAAGCAGTTAAGAGGTACTCATCAATGCTTACCAGTATAATAAGAAAAACAAAACTTTCTTACTGTAGGAGTAGATTAAAGAAGCAAAAGGCAACATGAAAAAGCACATGGAAAGCCATCTCCAACATCCTAGGAAGATGAAGGGAATTATTAGGGAAAAGCGCCAAGTCATTATTACTATATAGCCCTGGGAAGGAGTTAGGCTAAGGATTTGGAAAGGGGGAGGAGAAGAAATGGTGTCCAACCATTTGGACGGTCGAGGATTGAACGCTGACCTGCATGAAGCGAGAGCGCGAATATGCGTCTCCCCGTCTCCGGCTACCTGGGGATGTGACGTGCATATCGTCAGAGGTATCCGCGGAGGACTATCCTACGATGTCCGATCCTAGTTCTGATTCGGAGTGACATGTTCCTGTTATTTTGTGATTGTTTTTGCGTTGTTCCTGTCATTTCATTTGCTTGTGCTTGATTAGTAGTCCCCGTGGTGTAGTGGTTAAGACGTTCGTCTAGCGTTTCGTGAGCGCTTTGTCCTGGGTTCGCATCCTGGCAGGGGAGGATTTACTGGGCACAAATCCTTATCTATAGCCACTGTTTAAGGGGGCATATCAGTATAAATTACAAGTTGTTCAATTTGCTTATAAATTTTTTATGAAATGGTTATAGAAAGGGCTGCAACTGGTCCAAGTTTCACCATCACACCCTAAACAGAAAAGGAGAAAAAAAATACACAACGTATTATGCAACGAATGTTCAACATTCTCAAATAATCTCAGGAAACACATGTGTCAACTAAAATGTCTACTATGTGCTATAGAAGCACAAACTCTTGTAATAATTGTAATATGTATGTGCAATATATTTATATGTAATTTTTTTTTTTTTGGCCAATTTTTTTTTTCTCGTTTGTTATCAAGGGATTTGCATGAAACTTGCACACCTTGCTCAATAGATGCCTATCTGCAAGGGTGCCAATTATGAACGAAATCTGTCGAAGTCAAGCTCAGCTACAGGTGGCCGAACTTGGATCTTTATTTTACTCTGGAAAGTAATTTACAACTTCAAGGTGTTTCTCAGCTTTCATTTATTAATCAATTTACATGCAAATTACACCTTATATGTAGAGTTTGTGCTTCTACAAACCTATTGAGACATTTTAGTCCAAAGTCCATTTGTTGATTTTATAAAAATTTATAAACATCATATATTGCATATTTTTGGAAGGGTAACTTTGAATAATTATATTATTGCAATAAACACTTTTTTTGATAAAACTGATCAATACAATTCTTTATTATGTGTTAATTTAATATCTGAGTGTTATAGAAATGATTTTAGTTGACACATGTGTTCCCTGAAATTATTTGAAAATGTTGAAAATTCGTTGCATAATACGTTGTGTATTTTTTTTCTCCTTTTCTGTTTAGGGTGTGCTGCTGAAACTTGGACCAGTTGCAGCCCTTTCTATAACCATTTCATAAATAAATTTATAAACAAATTGAACAATTTTTACGAAACCCGTAATAAGCCCCCTTAACTGCGTGTAACTGGGTTGTTTCTGGCCTAGTACTCACCTAGTTATGCTAGCGGGATGGGCTTTGGCTCTTTGGTCCCGCCTCTCAACCGCCAATCAACTGATGTACAGATTCCTGAGCCTACTGGGCTCTTAATATCATATCTACATTTGAAACTGTGTATGGAGTCAGCCTCCATCATAACACTTCCTAGTGCATTTCACTTACTTAGTACTCTGACACTGAAAAAGTTCTTTCTAATGTGTCTGACTCATTTGGGTACTCAGCTTCCACCTGTGTCCCCTTGTGAGTGTACCACCCGTGTTAAATAATCCATCCTTGTCCTGAGAATTTTGTATGTGGTGATTATGTCTCCCCTAGCTCTTCTGTCTTCCAGCGACGGATGGTCCTACGGGCCATTGCATTCGCCTTCCGAAACAAAATAAAAGACTGCTGTCTGCCGGTGTCGGTGTATCTTCCAGCCCGCACGTTTACAGCAGACAGCTCGAGCACAGCCTGCATTCCACCAGGTAACGCACTTCCGCGTGCCCCGGGAGGTAGAGCGAGGAATAGAGTGGAGGGCAGAGTCGAAAATGGTGTCATGAAAAAGGAGGACGAGTCGAGGAAGAGGCAGAGGGGAGAGGTCGGAAAGTGTAGCATCGAGGGGTTAATAGAGTGCAACCTTGGCAAATTGTCACATAGGGGAGGATGAAAAGAGAAAAAGGTGACAAGGATGGGGAAATGGTCACTTAGATCATCAAAAACCCGCCAAGTGAAATTTAAGTAAAGAGAAAGATCAAGACAGGAGAGGGTGCGAGTGCTGGAGTCCACATGAGTGGGTTCACCAGAATTCAGAAGACAAATGAGAGGACAAATGGTTCGAGAAGACGGTCCCGGGTGTTTATCAGAGCATCATCCCAGAGGGTATGCCGACAGTCGAAATCACCCAACAGGACAGGCTCTGGGGTAAGGAGTCCAACAAGTGCTTAATAAAATCAGGAAGAGAAAAGCAGGACATTTGGGGGGTAGATAAATGGAACAGACTGTATACCACTTACTCACAAAGATACGGGCCGCAGAACATTGAAAAAGTATGAGGGACGAAGGAAATATCAGTACGAATCAAGAGCAGTAGAGTTATGAGCCCCAGCCAAAGCTGGAGGGAGGGAGAGAAATTAATCCTCCCGCTCAAGGGAGCGGGAGGATGTACCAGGGGCAGACGGATAGGGGGTCCTGTGCTGGAGGAGGTAATGGAGAGGGGTGGTCAAGGGATTGGGGGAGGCAGGAACAGGGAAGCGCACCTCAGCAACGGAGAAGCGAGGGCTAAAGAAACCTCCATAGCCGAGACGGGGAGCTCGACTTCCGAAATGGGAGGGGAATACAGTGATAGTCGGCGTCAGAGGGTGGGGAAGAAAGCGACGCTTTCTTACCTGCCGGGAAAGGAAGGAAGAGGAGTTTTGCTTGCGTTTCTGACTTTAAAAGACAGGTGTGCCAGCAGTAATTTCGGACTGGGCGAGTCTCCATAGTCTCAACCCGAGGAGAACGGGAGTGACCAACAAGAATGTTGGGAGGCTGATGGACAACAGCCTGGACAGACAGGCAGTGTAGAGGGCCAAGCGACAGGGAAGAGATGGGAAGCATTGTTTAAGGCATATGCCATAATACTATATTATGCATACTTCTAGGAAAAAGATTTAGTTCAGAAACCTAGTATTTAGGGAGTGATCAACTTTCATACAATTTCCAGTGGTAAAAATTTCCGCAACTCAGAATTTTCATAGCATTGTCAGTTAATTGCGATGGACAGATAGATGTTGATGCAATGTATTTTTTTCTGCCCAGTGCTCTGAATGTCAAAGTGAATAAAGTCAATCAAGCGCGGGTAAACAGCAGGATTAACCGACAATTGCTGACCCGGGAATATACACCTAGTGGGAAATCTACCTGCCACAAGTAATTCTGGAAATAATTAATCACGCTTTTTGTCTTGTACTAAGGTTTCAACAAAATTTATATTGCTAAAGCTATCAGACCTTCGTGCTTGTGGCCCCTCTCCAGTCAAGATCATATTTCATGGACCATTGTGGCTTTAACAATAAAGATGTGACTACCTAAATAATTTTTAAGACACCACTAGGCCAGGAATACATTTAACATCATCCATGAGTCTTAAGTCTGTTCAAGGGTAGAGAACCATCTACTTACTATTACATGTTCAACTATTTGACCCTCCCTCGACTTACTATGCAAGACGCTGTACTTGGATCTATAGCAATGCACAACTGCAGTCCCCATATATGCAAGCTGAATCACAACGTGGCTGAAGATATGATGACCAAGTAAGTAATTATCAATAGAAGGCACCAAACCGGGAAGGCTATGTAGCACCATCAAATATATATGATGACCAAACCACTTGCCAGAAAATGAGACAACGGCGACGTTACGGTTTGTCCTGGACCATTATTAAGTCGTATGTGACTTGTCCAGGATGGACCGAAACGTAGTCATCTCCTGGTGTGTAGTTTGATCATACATATATGCTATCAACAGCGATTGTTGATGACAGTTCAACAAATGTCAGTAGAACTGTCATATTACAGTATCTCCTGGGAGTTGGCCCAGCCCAAAAATTAAAGCCATCATCGACATGGTTGGATACCCAGCAAAACTGTCATCTGCTGAAGATCAGGCAGAACCAGTGTTGTACTTCAAATAAACAAATATTTAAGCTTAAAATCCAAATGATTTTTAAAGTAATTATCATAAGATGAACTTAAATTCGTAAAGGTGAAAAACATACACGTATAGTTCAAAATATTTATTATTTATACATTAGTCAACAAATCTATATAATACTAGTATTAAATACTGGTACTAATTAGTAAAGCTACAAAATTTCCCAAACTTAAATGCAGACGAAAAATATGTAGAAGTATTGTCATGCATTAACAAACGTTCTGTATTGTTAATTATTAAATTTTTCAGTGATCTCAATAGTTTCACCTTTCTGAAATCTCAAAGACACCTTATTCCAAGAACTTCCTCATATGTTCATCCTCCATAGATTTTCAATCTATTATAATTAAAAACCCCAAATTGTTTTCTAAATGCAATGTCTATAAATGTCCTAACACCCAATTAACAAATGTAAATACATGTAGTAATGTGGAGATTAAGGACTTCTAAATGTTGTCGCTTGTGCTACCATTTGTCGTATGCATTTATTGGTAAGAGACGGAAACACATTTTATCTGCCACCTCTAGACAAGAATTTGGATTAAGAAAAATACACACATGTATATATTCACACGCACTGTATTACACTATTATGTTATAAACCACATCAACTGCATTAAATCTCCACATTACTCATTGCATTTTGACTTGTTGATAAGGAATCATCAATGCATTGATGATTTGATAAAGTATTCTCAACTTTGAATTAAGAACTAAGTATTTATCAGCGTTGATAAAGAATTCTGAATGTGTTTGTGTAATTCTCAAATAATTCTCTAAAGTTTTATATTTAAGGCTTGAAGGGGTATCTATGAAATTATGATCACTTTCATTCAACAATCAAATAACCCACTTTTTAATCTAGCTTTTATTAGCCGATTGCTATTATAATTTTTCAAGAAACTGGATTTCTCTTTACCATCTCTCTCTGCTCATTCCCCAGACTTTAAAATAACAAAAGCAATACCGAGTTAACTATTTGACTACAAAATTAACCAAACAAGCTATAACGTACAAATATAATCTTTGTATTGCTTAATTCACCAGGTATAGCAAACTAAATTTTCTTATTCTCTGAATATATGGAAATGTATGTGCAAGGCACTTAACGAATTGGACTTAAAAGGTAGTGTTAGCTCCTAAAGCTATTATTGCACCTGTCAGCATAGGTATGCCTAATGCAGCAACTCCTGACCATACTGTTTCTTCCCTTACCTGCTTTTAAAACCTTATTGTATTAAAATCAGTAATTCAATTTCCGTATTTCCCTTTTCTCAATACTAAAAATGCACTTTACATTCAAGTGCCTAATCTGCACCCTGTTCTACAATGCCTAATAATAACTAGGTCGTCGTCACTTCAATTAGGTCCCTACTGGGATGTGAAGTGATCTAGCATCATCTACATCTCAATAATTGAACATTTCAAGTTCTGCTAAAGAACACTTCCTTACCCATTGACTTTTTTTTTGGAGATTCCAATTCAGGGTCATACCTCAGAATTGGCCTCTCGTACATAATATCAAGGCCTACTTGGCTAGCTTCTTGATGCAATTTTATTCTTGTCTTGATGGTTTTGGATTTGTGTACGTATATCTAAATGAGCTTATCTGTGTGTGCTGTTGACAAAATCTACCTATTAGAATTCATTTTTCCTGGTATTTACTGTAATAAGTGAATGTTTATGTGCATATGAGGAGCTTCAGGGACTGTGCTAGTGAAGCTTTAGGCATTACAGTACAAATATACAGTACCATTTCTGCTTTCATTTCCTTCTATTATAATAGATGTGTGGTTTTTGTTTTAGAAAAAGAACAGAAAGGAAAGTAGAGAAAAATTAGGTGTGTGTGTGTACATATGTATGTAACCTTTACTGTACTTTCCTGCTTACACTCACCTGTGTCATCCTGTGCTCACCTGAAATGATACCAAAGAATTAGTACAAGTTACAATAAAAAATGCAAGTACACACATAATTGACTAAAAATTATTGGCATGACAATTTTGCTAAAATCCTAACGGACCCCTTCACAATAATTATGAAAATAAACTGGATAAAAATAGACTTTAGCAACAATTTAGTCGGTAAACTGAAATTATTACCACCAATTTACAGGTGCATTTGATCTTTTATACTTTATATTACAACCCAATAAGGGGAAAAATTACACACAGTAAATAACTATGCCTTAGATATATGTTACAAGTTCACATAACCAATGTATGCACACTGTATTTTACTTTAACTTTCAAATTTGTTTTATTAAAAAATCTTTATTTAAAAACTTTCTTAAAAGTATACCACCACAACAGTACATTGGTGCTTGTTATATACAGAGTATATATATATAGTCTTTTTTTTAACAAAAGGTTCAGACCAGACAAAAGAAAGTATCGAATTGTATAAAAGAAACAAGATATACATTATACCAACAAAACGAGTTCCAAATATAAAATATAATTAGTGAATTTTCTTGTGTACAATAATTGAGCAAATACTGAAGCTATTAAGTGACCTCATCCAGCAAGCAGGTCCTGTCTAGAGAACTTTTAACCAAGTTTTGATCTACAAGAATTCACTTCAGAACTTTCCACTGCCTGAAAGCACCTCAACTAATGATTGATTGTTAAACAACATAATAGTTCATTTAAAGCTTGCCATTAGGAAACTTAGTCATGCCAATAAATACAGGGATACCATAAAACCACCTTCAAAAACTTGAAATCTAAAATAGTTGGGAAATCAAGATGGTAACGAAACACCAAATCCAGTTTCCATCACACAGGGACATCAACCACACATTATGAGTATCGCCACCACCAACTCATCCCAGGAGCCAATCAACAAGACATTAAGAGAAAAAAAATCCCCAGTCACATCACATTCTGGAAGACAGGAAGAAAAATGGTACATAAACCAGACATATCAATTGCTAATAGGCAATTTCAGTATTTCTCCTTTCCTATCTTTAACCATAGCAGTAAATTTTATTCAATTACTTACGAATATCAGTGCCAATTCTCAAAATCTATTGCACATTTGTAGAAAATGGAAAAAATATAGAAATGGTAGTTATTTGGCATTTTTAAGAAATGTCTTACCTCATGTAACTGAATCAAATATCAAAGATTGAAAAAAATAAGACTAAAGTAAATGTTCTTAACTGAAAGTTAGCAAGGAGAAGGTACAGTCAGGAATAATTCTTTTAAACTAAACTATGGCATGGTCAATATATCACATGAAAAGGGAGAACAAATGGCACGTGTACTTGGAAGGCCGAGGGGGGGGGGGGCCCGGAGCGCACGGGGAAGGCCGAGGGGGTAAGGGCCAGAGCGCACGGGGAAGGCCGAGGGGGGAAGGGCCAGAGCGCACGGGGAAGGCCGAGGGGGGAAGGGCCAGAGCGCACGGGGAAGGCCGAGGGGGGAAGGGCCAGAGCGCACGGGAAAGGCCGAGGGGGGAAGGGCCAGAGCGCACGGGGAAGGCCGAGGGGGGAAGGGCCAGAGCGCACGGGGAAGGCCGAGGGGGAAAGGGCCAGAGCGCACGGGGAAGGCCGAGGGGGGGAAGGGCCAGAGCGCACGGGGAAGGCCGAGGGGGGAAGGGCCAGAGCGCACGGGGAAGGCCGAGGGGGGGGGGGCGGAGGGCGCGGGCATGTGCACGCGGGAGGCCGAGGATGGGGGGGCCGGAGGACGCGGGCATGTGCACGCGGGAGGCCGGGGGGGGGGGGGGGGGGGCCGGAGGGCGCGGGCACGTGCACGCGGGAGGCCGAGGGCACGTGCACGCGGGAGGCCGAGGGCACGTGCACGCGGGAGGCCGAGGGCACGTGCACGCGGGAGGCCGAGGGCACGTGCACGCGGGAGGCCGAGGGCACGTGCACGCGGGAGGCCGAGGGCACGTGCACGCGGGAGGCCGAGGGCACGTGCACGCGGGAGGCCGAGGGCACGTGCACGCGGGAGGCCGAGGGCACGTGCACGCGGGAGGCCGAGGGCACGTGCACGCGGGAGGCCGAGGGCACGTGCACGCGGGAGGCCGAGGGCACGTGCACGCGGGAGGCCGAGGGCACGTGCACGCGGGAGGCCGAGGGCACGTGCACGCGGGAGGCCGAGGGCACGTGCACGCGGGAGGCCGAGGGCACGTGCACGCGGGAGGCCGAGGGCACGTGCACGCAGGAGGCCGTTCAACCAAGACTTAGCACATCAAATGGTACTTTAGATAACTTATCTTTTATTTTGCAAAATGGCCTACAGAGTAGACACTTCCCAATTCTAAAGTGAAGAAAGTTAATCCAAAGAAACATTTAGTATATAACAAAATTGGTATAAGATGTTTAAAAATAACCAATCATAGAGAAGATGCCTTAATAAAAAGAATTAAGCTAATTCATACAGTATAGAATTCCAAAAATGTACATATTGATCATGCCATAAAATAATGTTATATATAATGAACTTTTTCCAATAATTCATGAACCTTTCAGGAGCCATAAAACATATTACTTCATAATAATGAGATTGCAATATATGGAAAATAAACTATCAGTATATGATTTACTTTAAATTATATTTCATTCCTGCTATTTATCCATAAAAATTTAAATTTACTAAATATAACCCTACTTTCTTCATATGGTAAATTCTTGGCTGGAGGAAAAGATTACAAGAAATTAATACAGCTAACATACTTTACTAATGAATCGGAACATTTACCACCTTGCAACAAAATGCGTATGGATTACTTTGCTGTGCTGATATATATTCAAGATTTTTATAATTTGAAAAAGCACATGTTTATTCAAGGGAAGTAACTGGCCACTCATTAAAATGCTAGAACAGCATTTCCTTTATTAAATCATATCAGCATCCTCAATTCAAGCAGATATCCTGTCTGCTTGCAATCCTAAACACAAATCAGTGACATGTGTATTTAGAGTCTGGAATATGAAGCATGAGCACCTTATCATACCATACCCACAACACACTGTGGTCTTGCTTCTTTGGCAGATGATTAAATTTGACCAGTTTTGAAATTCACATCAAGAGTGGCCAAATCAGGTTAACACTAACAACCCCATTTTGGATAGGACATTCCAACTGGTCTTTCTAGCCATTTTGCTCAAAGTCAATTAATTATACATGCTAAGTTAAAGAGACTGCCAATTACTTAATACCATGTTTTTAGTTTAGCAGAATCTATAAAACTAAAGATGAAATAAATTAGATTTTTGTCTAAGGAAAACCACTTGAATGAACTTAAGCCTTTCTCAGACAACAGTCAAAATTCAGTCACTAGCAAGGGTTAACAAGAAGGTATTTCACCCCAATGCAAACGGCATCACAACAAAATCCAGCCCCCAATGCCAAAGGTTCGAGATTTCTTATTTTAACTCTCACTCAAGGCAAGTAAACATTCTAAACAATTTATAAATAAAAATATTGCATCCACTCTGCAACTTGAGGCTCCACTTTCCCCCAACAGACACGACCAAAGCTACAAAACATAGCATGGCTTACCAGTCGAAGTCCAACTTCTTCGAGGCGAGACCAACACCCCGACACCAATCTTGCTGGACCTGTCGAAGCCTCCAAGGAATGTGGCAGCAACCTTCAACACACAGCGGAAACACCACCATGCAATCTCGATGGGAGGCCACAGGGCCCTTGTTCATATATTAACTTGATTCACATTCTGACCACAGCAACATTCTATTTATCAACATGCACAGGAATTTCGAAGATTTGGAAAAATATCTTCAGGGATGGATGACAAAGGCTGCTATAAATTAGAATCTTCCCGATACATTTCTTTCAAAAAGATAATTTTCCAGCTGCTTCACTTGTTATAAGCAATAACCTTAACATGAAAATAGATAGTTTAGTAACTGAGTAGGATCCAAGGCAACAAACATCAGAAAAAATAATCAAACATTTCTTAAAGTACAAATCACCTCCAAGGAGACATTAGCAGTGCAGTATGCCAATAACACCAAAGTAACACCTCTAAACATATGAACACTTAACATAGAGAACAATATCTTTCAAAATTATAACTCCATCTAATACAATTGAATGGCCCTTCATTAAAATCTGGTGTCCTTAGCTACATCATGATTCATGCAACATATTAGTCCTACAAAATAGAAAAACATTATGACCTAAGAAGTGGCGTTTATAAAACTTTAATTTCCTTCCATTCTATATTTAACAACTTAGTTAACATACCAATTCCACTGTAGCCCACCTAACATCAAAATATTTAAATATTACCAAATTCGGAAATAAGTAAAAGCCTACAATAAGGACAGCCCTATATTTAACAAATTTGTAAGATTTTTTCTAGGATATTATTTTCTCCCATGACCCTCATAACTGCTAATTCTCATACATGCAAACATAACTTACCTAAACTCTCATTATCCAGATGGCCAACAAAAAATTCAAGAACCCATGTTTTCTTTACTGACACTTCAGATGTTTTCAGTATCAAATCAATTTTTTCATCACTTTCTAGACAAGAACAAGCACAAGAACAAAGACTGGCAAGCTAAGAACGTCCAGCAATAAATCCACAAGCAGCAGCAGCAGCAGGATTTTATCAAAGTGACTCCATGTTCAGTTCACTCTAGCATAAAGAAAAGTTATTTCTACCAAATTTCAGAATACGTTCAGTTGAAGCTGTAGATGTCCACATTCACACTACAAGCACACAAGCCATACAAACATTTCTCGCATTTCTTTTCTAGTCTCGGTAACTACGGTCAATCACTAAATATCACACCCAAAAGCATGCAGACTCCAATTTTAAAGTTTTACCGTCAAAGGTATTATTACTGTATATCTAATAGAATATTATGACAATCTGAGACGAACGTACAGCATTGAATTCTTAATGGCCAGGGTACGTGGCAAGAATGCCTAATAGAACAGTTTGAAGGAGAAAATAAGATAAACAAAGATAAACTAAAACACATTGGAGGAATGGGGTATGAACCACAGATGTGGAGGCGAGGTAACTGTACATGGGTAGCAACACATGACAAACACATCTACATGGATTGAAGAGCAATGAACAAAGGATAGAAAACAGGTAAATGTATTTTTTAATTATATAAGATTAAATTGTAATACAAACACACAGCTTTCACTTGTTCTCATAATATAATAAGTTGTCTAACTCCTCAAAAAATTATTTAACAATTAAGAATACTACAAGGAAATAAAGTTCTATCCAAAAATATGAAGAACTCGTATATATCCTTACTTCCATTCCTTTATTTTCTAGTAATCCATGAAATTATGAAATAGATGCTTCATAAATTAAGTGGCCATTATCTTTTAAAAGATTATGAATGCCAGGTTTCCTTTCAATTCACTTCTGAGATCAAAGACATGCATTAATACAGTAAAATATTTTAAAGTAATTGAATCATTTTGAACAGTTTGCGCAACACTGCCTAATAATTCAATTTGAACATATGAAAAAATCTTGTTACTTCAAAAGCTTTATTAAATTTATTTTCAGCATTTACTAAATAAATTACTACCCTTAAAACTCTTTTGTCCAGGAACAATTTACAAGATTTCTACACTGAATCAAATACACACGTTAGTCTTACACACATGTGCACGCGCACACATACTTGAATTACGAATACATCCAAAATGTTGTGTACACACAAAAGAAAGGCACAGGTAAAAAATTGAAACAAAAATGCAAGATGTATAGAAATACTATACTTTTTGATAGTGCACAAGGTAGGCCACCTCTATTCACAGCTTTAGAGCAGTTAGACGACAAAGCACTACAGGATTAACAGCTGAACAAGGTACCTGACAGCAGGAGGCAGATCAAGAGTAGAACTTCACTCCCAGCAGACACACAGGCAAAAACAGCATCTGCTAATGAGCAAATGCTCACACTAATGTAAATTGTGCACAAGCAAATGCATGCACACAAAACAAACCATTCAGTGATCTATTATGATTTCCATAGCTGTTGATGAATTTGGAATAAAGACAATGAAAATGTTCACACCAACTAAATTTTTAAGACAATGGTCTCCAATAATAACATCAGATATAATCAAATGCATCTTCAATGTCAAGATCCACTTGCAAATCTCCAAATTTCTTGTGGTGAAGACCTCCATTCACAAGCTTGCACAGCATAATTGCTTTATCTTTCATAGCACACTGGAAACTTTTATCAAAAGAATGAAGCATCCTACATGTAGCAATCACTAAACTGTCAATACGTGCTTGCACACAGTTTCCTCCATATTTGTTCATACCTTTGATAATATGTACAGTAACAAAGTACATATGAATAAAATAGCTAAGTACATTTTCACCTTTAATCACTTGATAAAAAGTAGAGGATGAATAAAATTGCCTGAAATTGCAATTTTCTAAATATTTAAATTTCTTCAAACAAGCAATTATTTCTTTTATCCTCTACCTGCAAACTGCACTTGTCAGCCCTTATGCAAATGAGCTATTAATACACGCAGCACAGACTTAGTGCACCTGTGACTTTGTTGATGACTTAAGAGGACAGTAGCAATCTTGAATCTATTATATGAAAACTTTTTTACAATATTTTAGGCATTGCTAGTGAAGTCCCAAGAGGCCTGGAAAATTTATGGCTGGATAAAGCAGCTGGAGTAAGCAGCATAAATTCACATTTTTTGGTAATTAAAAATCTCAAAATCCTTCTATTAATTACTCTAATAAACATTTGTATAAAGGCGCCATGAAAGGGTGCAAGCTTTTTCAATGCCAAGAAAGGTAGCCAAAGCATTTAGGATTTTTTTTCCCCATTATGGCAAATGACAGCTAGGTCTCCAGTGTACAAAGACAACTACATACTATTTAGTAACTTTGAATATTAACCCTGAAAAGGTCTGTCCCATCAGCAGGTTCTCTGCCATAAATGTTCATACCCTTTTTATACATTTACACAATTTTTAAGACCATTTCAAAATACCCAGTTTCAGCATTCAAATTCTTCCATAATTTTACAGAAGATAATTTTCAAATAAGTGAAAATATTCACACACGCAAACTAATTACCGTTTTGAGCAGTTGGCTATCGCAATCTTTACATGTTCCCCTAATACTTTGGGTGGTCCACTGGTATGTTATTCATGCACTGTACTTAAAAAAAATGTTTAGTGCAAAATGTGATTTTGGGTAATTTCGAAATGGATGATGCATTTTACCATCATCGGAACATTTACCGTTGATGCACAGATGATGCTACAACGCATCACTGGAATGGTAAAATTGTAGAGGCACATTAAATGGTTCCCAAATGACAGGAGCACAATGGCTCTATTTCTAAGAATAAGATAAGTTTAAGAATTAAGTGCGATAAGTTCTTGTTCCCTGTATGAGGGTTCGGCAAGTAGAAAGCACTGAAGGAAGAGGTTGAAACTAATTCCATCCACAAATATAAACATTAATGTTCATATTTAATTAGGTATTTAGGAAAGAGGTAATTAACAAGCCAGTTATAAACATCCAGGCTGCAGGGCATAGAGCTAGATCTCGCTTTCCTCAGTCACTGATTGGTAAACATTCCTTTCGTCCCCTCTATTATATATAAACAAAAAGCCATCGGAGCATGCAATATGATAAAAGCTCATCAATGATGGTGGCAAACCAAGAAACTGCTCACATTTATCTCCTCCTTGTATTGGTGGTTGTGAAACGTTCAAATTTTGCACCTTCTTTACCATTGATGAAATAGAAACTATGAATACAAATAAGACCTTATATATTAATGCAGAATAGCAACCAATGACAAGTCGATACCATACTGCCAGGAAATCCTACAAATTTATATGCTCAGTTTGAAACAATATAATAAAGACTTACCAAAACTACCTATGGATAACAAGAAAATTACACCAAGCATTACAAAACATCCAAATCAGAGATGCGGACGCATGGACGCATCAAACAACGGAGAACCAATAGTTTTGTCTTCATGTGTTTGGTGCACATTTTTCATTTTGGTGCATATTTTCTTTTTTTGATTCACAAACTAATTTGAACTTAAGTTTTCAGGACTGCTGGACTAATTTAAACAGATTTTAATCTGGTTAAAAATATTATAAATATTGAAGTGCAAATGACATTAATCACGTCAACTGTTAAATTAAAAATGTCAATTTGTTTTCTCTCTAAATAGCCATACTGAAAGCAATGAAAGATACTAACAAGATTGAGTGATTCATCATTTGCAAGACCAGAAAGACACACCGCCTTCATGTAATAATTGTCACTCTTATTTAAAGACAAATACTTGATCATTTTCACAATTTCAGAACGAAACAACCCAATCCATGCATTTGCAGTATAAAGGCAAAAAATGCTTTTAAAACTATGAAAGCACACTATAGATATACCAAAATCATATCTTCAGTAATGTCAACCTACCAATTAGTACACAATTAACATTTTAGTCAAAACAACCACAGCTTACCAATGACAGATTTAGGAAGGCAAATATGTTTCTGTATGGGTCCTGTGCTTAATGGAATGAACAAGACCCCCTAATATATAGACTACAAATTAACATATAGTATATTATGAGTACAAGATGCACAGTGCAGTGAATGCCTTTTGATTACAAGGTGTGCACCCTGTGCCTGTGAGGTGCACGTCCCATGAATGTGAAGTGCAGACCCAGTCAATGCGAGGAGCTTGTTTTTCATTTTTGGAAGCAAGATGGAGGGGTGATGGCATATGCAACTGTGTGAACACGTCCCACATGCACACACTGCTTCTACCAGCAGACAGAGTAACATTATTATTTCCCATCATAACATTGGGTAAGTAAAAGAATAGAAACTGGGTCAAAATCAACTGAAGCAAAACCTTTACCTTGCCTCAAGATCCTCACCTATACATTAGTTATTTGTATTAATCACCAACTAACCTACCTTGATATATTAATTATAATAATTTGTAAAATCTGTTTTAATCAAAGAATATACAGACTTCAGCCCTCATCGGTTCACACCCGAAAGGTCCCGGGTTTGATTTCCACAGGACACACTTGGAACATTTCCATTCACCTGATGCCTATTAACCTTCAAGAAAATAGGTACCCAAATTAAGCAACTGTTGTGGGTTGCATATCAGGGAAAGTCAGTCATTGGTTTATGGGAACCTAAGTAAAGCCAGATAGGCTTCCTGTCCCCGACAATGAAAAACCTACTGAGGCTCAAGTGAGGTAGAGTCTTGTATACAGTTAAATTGGTTTAAATCTAGAAATTGAATCATCTTTTCTAGTATCTACAATAGATTGTGAGTTACCCAATTCCAACTTCTCCAAGGCTATTTGACAATTTTGGAAACCATTTACGGTTTAAGCTAAACAAAACATCTAATTTAGGAAATAAACTTATTCTGGCTACTTTAACAGCAAGAGGTGTATTGAAAGGAAGCAAGAGCAAGTTATTACTTTTTTTTTTATTTTTGTGAAACAAATGTTGTAGACAAAACTACCGACAACATTGACATTGTTCAGGATTACAACACACTCGTACTAAAAGTGCTACATTAAAAATACCTGCTAAATTTTATCAATAATACCTACTACCTAAATTATTGACCTGATCTGAAACTAAACTAACCATCATAATTGTTTATATTTATCAAATATCATGAACCTAAAATACTGTAAATTCAAAGATTAAAGCTAAACTGTGCCCACACTGTGCTTGTGTTGCATAACTCACTTTTGTATATAAAAATTATTTTATTCATAATTTAACAAAACTGAAATGAGCCCTTGACAAAAATCAATACCCAGACAAAACATATCAGAACAAATGTAGAAAAATGTCAAAAGGACAACAAGAAAAAACAACAGCAAAGACGGCCCATTGCCCATTTATTGGCGAATTACATCTTATCTATAAACAGGTACAATGATCCAATTATACTACTCCAACTTCACTTCTATCAACTGTGAACTGAACACAATTCTCCTTCGACATTTACAACAACTAGTGTGTAGAACGCAAACATCCTCTCAAAGGACCAAATGATGAGCACTACTATCTAACCTTACTTAAAAAAAGGTATCGTCATTACATGCATATAGAAGAATGACAGCAAGGATGAAATCTTTCTTTACACTCTTTTAAAAGTTACATGAATATTTTAATACGACAATTTTCTATTCAGTATAGGGAGCAAATTACCAAGCCATCACTGCAGTTTGTCAACACCAGATCGAACTAATCTCGAACACAGCCACCGCCAGAGTTCAAAACTGTGATTAAACATTGCCACTTGGTGTGAGGTATACAAACACCTAAATTAGACTGCTATGTATAATCCATAAACTCAGCAATTCTCCAGCAAAGTCGTCAGTCTTCAAAACCATCTGCTTGGAAGCTTTCCAAACTAGGCATAATCCAATCCTCCATAACTGCCAACTCGAGAAACTGACGGGCCACCGAGATGACACAAGCCCTCATGTAAGCAGCCATTACCTTTGGAAGTTGTCATCGGCTGTCTCCACGGTACACTCGTCACGGCCCTCATCAGGTTTGAGCCGTTTTATTCTCAAAGATCGTTTCACTCTTGCTCCACCTAGAAATACTTCCTCCTGGTAATGAACATTACAGAAGAACCACATCAAGGATTCTTCCATCCAGACGTTGGCGATCCAACATTTCTAAAAAGCTTGGTTAAGGAAAACATACATTTTAATGAAAAAAAAAAATATTAATTACAAAACAATGATTACTACTACCACGCATTGATCATTGCTTGAAAAGTTAGTAATTAAAAACCAATATCAAGTGGGAATCTGCATGGGGTAGTCCTTCATACTTTGAATGATGCCTGTAATATTACCATGGATGGCATGTGTGGTTCATAGGCATAAATGCCAGTCCAGCTTTAAGACAACTGGATTAATTGGGCCCTGAACCAAGGGGCCAAATGCTAACGTAACTTACTCCTATTCTCGTTAAGTAAAACACTAACAGAGTAAAGGCTTGTCATAACCCAACACAAATTTGCAAGCAAATGTTTAAAACAAGTAGTTTTGCAACTTTTTTAAAAGTAATCTACACAGTTTGTTGCATTTTATATTTTCCACTTAATTGATGAACACAGCTGTCATCATAGGGTTGTAATTTGTTTACAAATTTGTTGTTTTAGATTCAGCTACTGTAAACAAAAAGTTCAAAGTAGCACGGGCTATGGTGAGCCCGTTGTGGACTTACCTGGCACACGAGTGAGGCTGTACAGTATGTGAATGTGTTATTCACTGGCCTTTTGAATATTCTTCACATACTATAAATAAAATAAATAAAATTAATGCTTTCTATAAATCATTTCACTAAAACTGACTGCTGCTGCAAACCTGGGGTGGGAGGGGAGGCACCAAATGTTTCCCCCAAACATCCTAAGGCTGGGGTCTGTGAAGTCATTCCTGTAATTCTTCCAGCCTTTTCTATACCCAATACAAAAGAAAGGTAGGGCCCAACAATTGTGCTGGCAATTAATAATGAAATTCTATGCATTTGTCTCAAATCATGAATGAATAAATGAGCATTGCTGAAAAATTATATATTAAAAGCCATTATCATAAAAGGATACCAACTGCTCTTCGAGCATCAGCCTCCGTCTGGAATCTGACAGTTCCAGTTCCCTTTGATCGAATTTCTGCAAATCTAATGTCTCCAAATTCACGACACAGGTCCCGAAGTGACTGCCATGTGTAGTCCACAGGAAGCTGCAGAAAAATTGGACAAAAAGAAAAGAATGACATTAACTTCAATGAAATGACAGGTTTCTCGCATATTAAACTTTTAACCCTCCGTCTATGATACCATACCTTGGCCTTATCCTTACTAGGGATGCAACGGAACTAAATTTTACAATTAAAATTTTTATCAATTTCTAATAGAAATAACATTTGTTTTTTATAGCTGTATTGTACCAAAAGAAATAAGAATTCAAGAAAAAGTATGAGCTAGTACAAATGTCTTTCATACAAGCAGTAATAACATTTACCAAACAAGCTTTTTTTTTCAATTTAGCACCCAAAACAAATCTCCTCAAAGTTTGTATGTCAGCTCCAAGATGATGAAATACATATATATCTTTTACACATTTTATTTGTTACAGTAGCTTGTAAAAAGAAAGGTGAAAGGTGTACGGTACGAAAGGTTTACGAGGTGAAATTTGATTTTATTGCTAAACATTGCAGCATTCAATGTTCAGGTACCTGCTTTAAAGATCAAAAACCTAGACAACATTACATGGCTTTGAAACATTTTTCTAGGCACAGGGATAAAGATCACATATTGCAGCTAACCCCAAGAGTTAAAACTTCTGCAATTAATGGGATATAGCTGCACGAATGGATAAGACCAAGGTCAGGTAATTTCTACAAGCCATAAAACACTATACCACTTTTTGAGATAAAAAGCCGTACAGTATATATAAATATACTGCATAAACTGGACTTGAACCCACTAAAAATTTAAACCATCAACAGTAATTCTATTGAGAAAACCCACAGGAACCGTGCTGAGGATTCGAACCTATGCACTGGGTATTTTCCCAGACTCTCGGGTTCAAATCCTCATCACAGTTCCTGTAAATTTTCATCAAATCACAATGTGATTTCTGTGAATTTTATTATTTTCATTTAAAACATCAAACTACTTACATTGCTCAGCTGGATGATGTTCCTGTATCCTCCAGAGTAACTGCTGTTAGAGGCACTGGTGCCGGTGCCGTGGTTGTAGTCACGGGACACTCCATATCCCGCACTGCTACCGAGGCTTCCACGGCTCATACTTGAACTCACTAGTCCACTGCCGCCGCCAAGGCCAGAGCCTACTCCCGTCAGACTGGACACCATGCTGGAGGACGTGCCCATGCCTGAACCCCCTATGCCACCCATTAATGATGAACCCATACCATTACCCATGCCAGTGCCCATTCCACTGCCCATGCCTCCTCCCATGCCACCACCCATGCCGCCTCCCATACCACCACCCATACCACCACCCATGCCTGTGCCCATACCCGTGCCCATGCCAGTGCCCATGTTACCCATGCCAGCACCCATATTACCCATGCCAGCTCCCATATTACCCATGCCAGTTCCCATACCAGCCCCCATTCCAGTTCCCATGCCAGCACCCATGCCAGCACCCATACCAGCACCCATGCCAGTTCCCATCATGCCCATGCCCTGACCACCCATGTTGCCCATATTTGTTGCCATTGCACCAACAGCAGGCATTGCTGTAACACCAGTGGCAACTGAATTAGGAAGAGCTGCAAAGGAAAAAAAGATTTAAGATTAGTTATGAACATCAACAAATTAAAAGTTTATTAGTAAAGAGACTTTCATACACAAGTAATAAATTTAATTTTAAGTTTAATCACAAGAAAACATTTTTATTTTAACTATGCAGCAAAACTCCATCTTAATGTTACAAAATTCTAATAAAAGATAAAGAAAAATTAACACTTGCCACAGAAAAGCATTATAAAAAAAAATTATATAAAAATTATAAAAAAAAATTATAAGCATTATAAAAAAAATTTAACTTGACAATCTACCTTCACCTCCCTTTAAAATTTATTCACTACAAGCATCTCATTCCCTCGGCACCACAATTGCCTTAGCTAATCAAACTATCCATTACTGTACATAATCTATATAGCAAAACACTTGATGTTACATTTAATATTCGATTCTTCCTAAATTGAGAATTTACATTTCCAAATCCTGACCCATGTTTAAATTCAGAACTCTATGAATACAACATTAATAATTATCAGGATTGGAGAGCGATGACATAAGGGGAAGCCTACATTTGCTAAAATATTTATCTGGATGAGAACTATTAATATCAATGTATCCAACAGCAAAAAATGGACGTCTCCATTCATTCATAAACATCTTAATGCTTCAATGGTAATATGTGAACATGCTTAATAACATTAAAGCTCTTTTGTGCTACAGGACAAATCTCGAACCCTATTAGTAAAAGCAGCTAAGTTTGACAGGGAGGCTTTGTTAATGCAATTAATATTTATTCATTGCTTTGGTCCCTCCAGAAATGCAAAAAAAATTCTTTAATATTTCAAAGCAAGCAATTTATTTCCTTTTTTATTGCTTAGTCCCACAAACTGTGGAAAATCCATCTATAAATTCTGAGATGGAAACTGTAAACACACAGGAGTCACTGAAAATAATGAGAATGAAAAAAAAAAGATAAAAAATATTCATAAAGATGTCAATGGATGAAACTGATACAAAACTTCAATTCGCCCTAAGTAATTCAATAGCCAACCAGGTCACTAGGAACTGCGCAGATTCAATAACCTTTCATCTGCATTGCAACAAGAAAAATCAGAACCCATTTAGGCTGCAAATATAATGACTCCTACATATAAATCCTACAACCAAAAAATATTAGTATATTTGTTCAGAAGAATGCCAAAAGAGACACATTTCTATGTAAGCTATGCATTTTAATAGTACAGTATTTAAATTTTTAACTTAGAATGTAACGCTCATTACACACAGAGATCACACTAACGTGATATATCAAATGAACAAATCCACAAGGGCAAATTTGTTCATTTGATGTATCACATTAGTGTGATCTGTGTGTAATGATGTAAGGGCGAAGAGGGAGAACGGCCTATTGACATAGCTCAGGTGCAGGGTGGAGTTGTGTAAAATCCTGGTTTGTGCCTCGGAGAGGCTACGGGAACCAGTAAGTTCAGTAGAACTTCGGTTTCAACTCTCTTTAACCCTGTCGTAGCTCAGTCGATAAAGGCAGTGTCTGGGATGCTCCCGGACGCAGGTTCGAATCCTCGTCACGGCCCTTGTGGATTTGTTCATGTAATGCTCACAAAACAATGGTTTGAGGCTGACAATTTCAATCACCCTATATTTCAGATTTTTTAATTTTATAAAAGGAGATGGGGGGGGAAGGAGAATGTGGGGGAGGAGACTGTGTGAAGAGAAAGAGGAGGAGAATGTGTGAAGAGAAAGAGGAGGAGAATGTGTGAAGGGGGAGAATGTGTGATAGGGAAGAGGGGGGACGAGGGGAGAGAACATGTGAGGGGGCAATAAATGACGAGGGGTAAGGTAAGGGAACTATCAGGATAAAGCATTACAACTATTACAGTATATAGGTGTAATTGCACCAAGCCATTACAACTATATAGCAGAGAAGGAATCAGGATAGGGATTTGGGATGGGACAGGAGGGATGGACTGGAGAGAATGCAAGGAGGGCACGAGAGAATGCAAAGGAGCCCAAAGAGAGAATGCAAATGCTGCTCATTCAAGAACTGATTTCATTCAGGCAGTGAAAATTCCTTAAAAAAAATCCTCCTTTAGGTGTTTTAAAAACTGCCCAATTTCATCAAAGTTACACCCATCACCAGTGTTAAAAAGTGTTGGTATCAGGTTTATTCCTAATTGGTGTATGTTCAGGTATGAGATGAATGCTTTAAAATCACACAAGTTAACACAAGCACAAGTTGAAAAGTTTTGTTGCCTGTATACAATGGATTGTTATAAGTTTCCTTGAATGTTTCTCCCTTTCCTCGATGCAAGTCACGATGTAATATTATTAAGTTTAGAACTCTACTTGTATTAAGTTCCAATGAAGTTATTATCAAAAGATGGCACCAAACCAGGAAGGCTATGTAGCACCATCAAATGTGCGGAATAATCAGAGGGCACTAAATATCACCAAGGATGCCAATACGAGAACAGAAACGCATAGGGCGAACGATATCAAAAGTATCCGATTCACCAAGAATTCTATCGAGGGACAAATGACCGGGAGGGACGGTCGGAAGGCAAGACACACGCTCTTCCTGGAAGCCCATCTCCCATTCCATACTGAATATAAAACCAGCGCTGCAGAGGATGACAATCTTCACAGCTTCGTAATCTTCAGCTTCATTAAATAAGTCAATTTACCAATTTATGTTACTGTATAGCATTACAATGTGTGTGTTTTTTTCAACTAGAGCTACATATTAGTCTGCAAATGTATATTCTATCATTAGCAGAGAAAAGTTGAACTCAAAAAATTTCGTCTTTGCAAGCTCTCAGTTAGTTACAAGGCTCGATTGCCATTGTATGGCATGGCCACCACAGCCTGTGTCGTAACATTAAAAATACATTACCTGCTCTGCACAGGGTAAAACAAAACACATCTCTAAAATTTTATTGAGAAAATATTAACACACACTGATTGATACATGAAATATTTTGCAATACAAAGTAATGAACCAATTTTTCCCCACCCATCTGGACTTTATCAGAGCGTGTTCACACGTCATCCATGCAGCAGTCAACAGCTGGCTTAATCGTCGGCACGCAATAAATTGGAACGCAATTACACAATGAATTTTATTAAATTTTAGTTATACAATATAAAATATATCTTGCCTAAAAGTTACTTGAAAAATTACCCGACCCGACTTAACTTCGGCAATAACGACCAGGGTACAGCCCCATATAGGCCGTTAAATTGAGTGGATACTGTCACACGAGTACCACTCAATATATGCCGCCACCAATTTGTTGGTTACACAGCAATGTGAGGTAGCTTCTTATATCAGCTGTCTCCACCGTCACCCTTACTCCTCATTATCCATTTTGGGTACAATAACATTTGACAAAACTGTTCATATGCATCGTCAGTAATTATCATTATACTTTTGTTGTGTAATGATTTGCCAATGACAAAAATAATTATAATACATAAATGTTATTAATTTATATATCTAGACTGGTGAAAGTAGTCCAAATCATGACCATTATGCTGTGTGCCACCAATAATTGTCTAGTTGTACTTCTAACAATGTAAGTTTGCCAAAGACTGCTTTATCATATCAGTCAAAATGAAGATTGTATTTGGTTTGATACAAGATTGTATGATCGTATTGCATAATGTATTTTATTTTTAAGAATTGGATTTGCACTTTCCTAAACTTGCCTGAGGATTATTATAAAGATACCTCATTATGCTTGTCTCTCCTCATAAGGCAAGTGAAAAATCTGAATATGAAGTGTAGTGGATGAAGCTACAATTTTTTTATGGGAGGGGGGGGCTGGAGGAAGGGACTTTTTGCCAAAGGCTTGATGGATTCAATAAAACCCCATCTGCATCAATTTGGCTATCCTTTTATGGGTCCCTCAAGGGAACTCTAATGTCTTTCCTGGAGAAACTCTAAAGGGTTTTGAAATGGTCAAAGGATTGGCAGATGCAGTTTAATGCTGATAAATGTAAAGTTCTGAGGTTAGGTAATGATGATAGAGTTACAAGATACGAGCTAGATGGTGTTGTGATTGCGAAGTCGGATTGCGAAAGGGATCTGGGAGTTATGATTAGTAAGAATTTAAAACAAAAGGATCAATGCATAAATTTTCGTAATAAGGCAAATCGGACACTTGGATTTATTAATCGCAGCGTTAGTAACAAGACACCTGGTGTGGTTCTCAAGCTATATCTTGCTCTAGTTAGGCCCCATTTAGATTATGCAGTTCAGTTTTGGTCGCCATATTATAGAATGGATATAAATTCACTTGAACGTGTCCAGCGTAGGATGACTAAGTTAATTCCCCAAATTAGAAATCTTTCATATGAAGAAAGATTAACAAAGCTTAAGTTGCATTCACTGGAAAGGCGAAGAGTTAGGGGTGACATGATAGAGGTTTACAAGTGGATGAATGGACATAACCGGGGGGATATTAATAGGGTATTAAAAGTATCAACACAGGACAGAACACGAAACAATGGGTATAAATTGGATAAGTTTAGATTTAGGAAAAACTTGGGTAAATACTGGTTCAGTAACAGGGTTGTTGATTTGTGGAACCAATTGCCGCGTAACATTGTGGAGGTGGGGTCCCTCGATTGTTTCAAGCACGGGTTGGACAAGTATATGAGTGGGATTGGGTGGTTATAGAATAGGAGCTGCCTCGCATGGGCCAATAGGCCTTCTGCAGTTACCTTTGTTCTTATGTTCTTATGTTCTTAAACATATCATTCAGTGCAAGTGAGATACCTGTTTAGGCCGTCCCATATTTTAACACTTTTGTCTGTCGATGACAGAGTCTGCGTCAATAAATTGACAGAAGTCCACTGGCGACACATGTTGCGTCAAAATTTAAAATGTTAAAATTCCATTTATTGTTTGATTATTATGGACTAGTTTTAAAATGCACGCCTTTGGATTGTGAACAATTTAATACCATAATGAGAGAGATTGCACAAAAGCTGAGGTCAGAACAAT